CACAACCCTGACAGGGCTCGGGGTTTTAAGGATTATGAGGTCTTCCGGGTTTGGGCTTTTGAAAGTCCAGGCCTGCATGGATGCCCCAGCCCTCGCCGTGTCATCCTTCTGGTCGGAACCACCATCCTGAAAGGGCTCAATAGGGCTTGAGGATTATATGAGGTCTTAAGGGTTTGGGGTTTTAAGGGCTTGGTGGTCTTAAGGGTTATGGGGCCTTAGGGGTTTGGGGTTTCAAGGCCTTCGGGGTTTTAAGGAATATGAAATCAAAAGGGTTTGGGCTTTTGGAAGTATGGCCTGTGTGGGTGCCGTTGCCCCAGCCGTGTCGTTCTTCTGATCGGAACCACCGTCCATCGGGGTCTTAAGGGTTATGAATGTCTTGTGGGCTAGGGCTTTTGAAAGTATGGCCTGCGTGGGTGCCCCAGCCGTGTCGTTCTTCTGCTCCGAACCACGATCCTGGAAGGTTCAAGGGCTTAAGGATTGTGAGGTCTTAAGGGCTTGGGGTTTTAAGGGCTTCGTGGTCTTAAGGATTATGGGGCCTTAGGGGTTTGGGGTTTCAAGGGTTTGGTGGTCTTAAGGAATATGAAATCAAAAGGGTTATGAAGGTCTTAAGGGCTAGGGCTTTTGAAAGTATGGCCTGCGTGGATGCCATAGCCCCAGCCGTGTCCTTCATCTGCTCGGAACCATCATCCTGAAAGGGCTCGGGGTCTTAAGGATTATGAGGTCTTCCGGGTTTGGGCTTTTGAAAGTCCAGGCCTGCATGGATGCCCCAGCCCTCGCCGTGTCATCCTTCTGGTCGGATCCACCATCCTGAAAGGGTTCCGATGCTTATAAGGATTATGAAGACTTACGGGTTTGGGGCTACAGGACTATAGGTGTTTGAGTATGGGGGTATTAAAAGGATTAGGGGCGTGAGGGTTTGGGGGCTCAAGGTTTGCAAGGCCTTCTGATTCGATGCCCCAGCCGTGTCGTTCTTCTGGTCCAAACCACCATCCTGAAAGGGCTCCGAGGCTTATAAGGATTATGAAGACTTACTAGCTTGGGGCTAGAGGATTTAGCTGTTTGGGTATGGGGGTATTAAAAGGATTAGGGGCGTGAGGGTTTGGGGGCTCAAGGTTTGCAAGGCCTTCTGCTTGGATGCCCCAGTCGTGTCGTTCTTCTTGTCCGAAGCATCATCCTGAAAGGGCTCGGAGGCTTAAGGAGTATGAAGACTTGAGGGTTTGGGGCTATATAGGACTGTAGGTCTTTGGGGATGAGGGTGTTAAGGATTCGGGGGCGTGAGGGTTTGGGGTTTGAAGGTTTGCAAGGCCTTCTTCTTGGGTGTCCCGGTCGTGTCCTTCTTCTTCAAGTCCGAAGCACCCTCCTGAAAGGGCTGCTGGGGGTTTTAAGGATTAAGGGCGTCAGGGTTTGGGGTTTCAAGGCTCAGCCACCTTGGATGCCACAGCCGTGCCCTTCTTGTTCGGGTTGGAACCAACATCCTGAAAGGGCTGGCGGGGGTCTTAAGGGTTAGGGCCTGGTTTGGGGTTAAGGCTTCAGGATGAAGGGTTTAAGGAGTTGGGGGTTTAGGGTTTGGGCTCCTGTGTTGGACTGATTCTTTGCAGAGAATCAGGACGTGCCTTCGGCTCCTGGTCGCTGGGCTTCGCCTTCTTGGAAGCCTGGAGGTCATCCTGGCCAAGCATAAATTCAAAGTTTCGAGGTGTTGGGGTGTCAGGGTTTGAAGACTCACGGGTTAGGGGCTTGGGCTTTGCGAGTTCGGGGCTGTGCCTTCGGCTGCTTGCCATCAGACTTGTGCTTGGTCATGCGATGCTGAACATCCTCCTCAGCAAGTACTGATGAAGTAAAGGCTCAAGGATTGTGTTCCAGGTTGTATTCTTTTCGGATTCAAGGCTTGGGGCTTATTTATGTTAAGGTGCATTGTTTCCTGGAGCAAGACAATTAAAAACAAACCATGCACAAACCGTAACCTTCAGGAGAGCCTAAAGCTTGGATTGATGTTTGAGGATAAAACGACGACAAGAAACTTGGGTCACCAGGCCAGATTCAAAGATATCGCCGTCGGCGAAGAAACAGCGAACGGCTGCGTGAGGACCTCTCTCATCCAAGGATGGCGGGTTTGACCACTCCGTCGGTCCCCGCTTCTTTCCCCCAGGATTCTCATCCTCCAAGCTCGCCCGTGCGACTTGTCGAAGCCGTACTCATACTCGGGCTTGCCGTTCAGCTCCAAAGTCGCAATTCCTTTTAGCTGGTATTGATCTCTCATCACACTCGCGGACACATCCTCCAGTGCAGGCGGCTCCGGAAGAGTCGCGACGTCGGCGACTTCGCCGCCCGGCTCGGTCTCCAGATCATCCGGCGACTTGGCTTTCAGCGGCTCCGGCGTCATCTCCGGCTCATACGGAAGCAGCAATCCTGCGATCCCCATCTTTGTATTCTTGACACTAAGTTAACTGATAGGACAGGCATATTGAAAACCAGCACATTGGCCCATAAGTCAGAAACCCGAGTATATTGTTTAGGGTAGATGCACATCTGAATCGCAGATTCGGCCTTCTTGCTCAGCAAAAGCCGTGATGGACTCCATAGCTCCCATAGGAACTTCGCTGCTTGCAAAAGCTTCCTCAGCCGAAGTGACACACATGGCTGATTCTGATTCGCTGCATCCCCTCGAGAAGTGTTCACGATTTCAATGGAAAAGAAACCAACATGCTATCTTATTGATGTAAGGGTCTGCGAAAAAGTCGTACGGTTTCTCGGCCGTCTGCTGCTGGCTCTGGGCTTTTGCTTCTGGCTTCGACTTGGCTGCGGTCATAAGTCCCTTGCTTGCTCGTGCTGTCTGCTTTGCGGCTGCCGTCTTTGTTGCTGGAGCTGCTGTCTCCTGGAGAACGTGGCCCTTTGTTGTTGGAGCTGCTGTCTCCTGGGAAACGTGGCTCTTTGTTGTTGGAGCTGCTGCCTCCTTGGAAAAGTGTCTCCTTGTTGGAGCTGCTGTTGCCATGACTGTTGTCGTCGTTGTTGTTGTAGCTGCTGTCTCATTTGCAACTTTTGTCTTCTTTGCATCTGGTTTCTCCAAAGCAGCCGCTGCAGGCCGCTTCAAACATGCTTCGTTGTCTGGCTCCGTGCATTCGTCATGCTCCATCTCTTCCTCCTCTTCATTCTCTTCACCTTCATACTCTTCATTCTCTTCATTCTCCTCTCCCTCCTCGGCATCCCCGAGCTGCGAGTCGATTGTCTCCCCTGTCATCTGCGTCTGCTGGGTATCCTGCTCCTCTTTTGAAGCACTCACATCATCGGCGTCTTCCTCTCCCTCTTTCTTTTTCTTTTTCTTTTTCTTCTTCTCTCGTGTAGAGTTCCACATATCCTGCCACACAGAATCTCGAGCAGAATCCGCAAAGCCCTGGCTTCGATCTTGATAAACCTTGAATCCCAACAAAAACTTTAAAACCCTGTGAGGCCTTGGGGAGCCAGCTGCGACATCTCAGGGCATCTTGGGCTACATGTCTGAAGGCCGCAGAAAGCTTTAAAGCGTAGGCCCCTGCCCACGTCGGCGAGACCGCCAACTTCTCATCCTGGGCAACACATCGTTAATTCGCAATCCTGGGATTATGCGGTTTGATGCTTCTACAGCTTTATGCCAAGTAGCCCGAGCTAGCTGCTGCAATGCTCCCGTGATCGTGCTGTGCGAGAAGTTCCATGTGCGGTCCACGGCCTGAACCCTTTTAAAGTGCGGGAGGTACTCCTTCAGCTTCTCCTTGTCTCTCGTTTTCATGCTCCTGGGCATGAGGTATAGCGATCAACTGGATCAGACTTTGAGGTTATGCTATCGATAATAAAGAGTGACAGGATCGACAAACGAAATACTGCACAAAGGCTTCCAGGCTTCCTATCGGATCCATAGCTTATGAAGAAGGGAACTTTCACCCAGGGTCGCAGGGCATCGCTCAACTTGTCCATGGCATCACTAGATCTCGAGCGGCCCCGAGAAAGCTTGCTCGCAGGCCTCTTCATTGCGACTTCCTACAGCCCTCAAGTCTGAAGCTTTGACCCCTGGTTTTGTGACCCTCGGAGCTTGCAACACAACAGCGGGGCCTCAAAACTCGGGTTGAACCATAAATTAAGCTCAAGCCCAAAACCCACCAAAAGGGTCGAGGAAGCTTACAGCACTGAAGGACCCCTAGGAGACTTGAAGCACCACAGGCCCAAAACCCTGACTTCTAGGAGAGTCGAAGCGTCAAGGTGTTGAAACCCGGTTTGATCGTGAAACACCCCAAGCCTCAAAGCACTTGCAGCCCTAAGGCCCAAACACAGAGGTTGAAACCTCCATTGATACTTGTATGCTACCTTGAAATCCCATGAAGTCTATCTGTCCTCGGGTTGATCGAATTGACTGAGGCGATGGCGGGGGCGGACTGCAGAAGTCTGAACGGGCTTTCTGGCAGAGACTACAAGCTGACAGGCTGAAAAGTCGACGAGCTCAAAAGTTCTTGGCGGGCTTTTTGGCAGAGACTACATGTGCAAGCTGACAGGGTGAAAAGTCGACAAGCCTCTGTACAGTTCGATTCCCTGACCTATAAGACATGGCGTATCGGACTGTCCAGCATTGATCGTGATTGTTGAGGCTCGCTCCGCTCAAAATTCCGAGCCAGCCAGACCAAGCTTTTTTGCTTGCGGCTGGGATTATAAGAAGATCGCTGTGTATGTTTTGGTGTACTACCCACAGTCAGTCCCTGAAACCCTTGATATACAGTGGCTGGTGCATACAGCAAACTTAACACAGGCGACTTCAAACTTTGGCTGGTATCCAGCATTCAGAGGCAGCACTGCCTATACAGGTCCGGAAAGATCCTCAGCACTACAGGGTCAGAGCAGCAAGGCTACGAGTCTGACCACAAGCTCAGAGCAGCAAGGCTACAAGTCTGAGCACAAGCTCAGAGCAGCAAGGCTACAAGTCTGAGCACAGACCTGAAGAAACAAAACAAAACAGTTTCGCGGGAAGCCCTCGCAGCCGTTCAATCGTCGCTGTCGGATGCTGCAGCATCACACAAGGCCGAGCCGGGGCCGGGGTCCCGGGGTTCCGCAGTGAGGATCGCCTGCAAGCTCTCCGACAAGTCTTCCCAGGACAGGAACGTCACGATTTTTGCCAGCGCACACAAGTCGTGCAGGTCTTCCAGGAAATACTGCACGAGCCTCATAAGCTGGAACTCCGGCCGGGAGTTCTTGACAATAAGAAACTGGTACAATGCAGCTTCCATTAACCGTCCTGCCGACAACTTTTGTGTGACGCCAGTTTCTTCCACAGCCCTTGGCGCCAACAGCATCATCCCATACTTGAGCACGTCGTTGCCAACCGCCCGGATGTTTTGCCTCGCCCTTTTTTTATGGAATTTGTCATGCTGTTGGTCCAAAACAGCAGTGCCTTGCCCATGCAACCGGATCAGAATCTCGGAGAGGTCGGCCACCAAATCATCCATCCGAATCCGGAGCTCGCACACGGACTGCAAAAGTGCCCTGACTTGCTGCTGCATTTGGCGGGTGATGCAGGCCCCATCCTGGTCACATTGCTTGCAACAATTGCGCCCATCCGGCAAGCATGCTGCTCGGGCTTTCCACTGAGCCGGCTGCCACTGAGCCTTGTTCTGCATCTTCTGGCACACAGGGCACTCCATTCCGTCCGGAAAGACCCTTCGCGAAACACAAAAATGTACTCCTGAAAACCGAAACAGCAATCATTCCAGCTTTAAGAGTTTAAACATTACTTGGAGGGTCGGGGGACTTAGTAAGTAGGTAGTAAGTGGACTTATAAGTACCCCAAAAGGGACCCTAATTGGGGTTATCGTACTTATAAGTCCCGAAAATAACCAGTTACTAAGTCCCCCGACCCTCCAAGCATGGCTCCAGGCATGCGAACTGTGGCATCGGTCAAGGTCCTTTTCACAAGCCATTGCATCAACGACTGTTTCGCTTATGCTAATTTCGAGCTTTCGCAGCCAATGAAGCTTGCATCAACGACTGTCTCGCTTATACTCTAGATTCGAGCTTTCGCAGACACTGAAGCTAAAACTCGCAGACACTGAAGCTTGCATCAACGACTGTCGATCTCGCTTAAACTAATTCGAGCTTTCGCAGCCACTCAAGCTCTGCATTCTTGCTTTTGTAGGCCAAAGAAGCGGGAACATAATTGGGCATACTCAGCTCGATGGTATACAGGAGCACTTCCAACCAGTCGTGAAGAAATTCTTCCCTTGGTGCATGAATGCATGCATATGTGCCGAAAAGGTACGGCTAACCTATTTAAACAAGGCACTGGGATTGGTCAAAGAGGGTTCGAAGCCACATAGTTAGCAGATAATCAGCTTCCCGGCTGCTTGCACCACTTTTCTTGAGCTTCTTCTTAATGGCGACTGATTCCTCGTGCAGCGACATATGATGATGAGCAGCTGCGGGGGGAGGCTCTGCATCGTCGTCCATGGCGAAAATGTGCTCTCACCCAGTCTTTCGCTGCATTTGGCGTTGAAGTGTCATGCATTTTGTAATTACGAAGCTTGAGATTGACCTTGTGTGACCTGGAGCCCCAAAACTGCAATCTTTCAAGGGATGATTCCTGATATGCACCATGCCATGCATCACCACCACCAACGTCACTATATAAGACAAAAACGGGCACCATTGCAGCGAAAAGGTCACGGTGTCGAAGGTTTCAAGGTTTCAATTCAACAAAAATCCCTTACAACCCCAAGAAAACCCTTACAACCCGAAGCCCCTGATTTTTTGACTCTCGAAGACGATGTGAGACACAGTGTTGCCATCGTGGCACAATCCGGAGCCATTTGTTTCAACTCCCATAACGGGCCAGAGCAAGTTTACACAAACCTGAGCATGATGCACAACATTTCGCCACCGAACCGGGCAAGTCATATTTAGAAAATAGAACCGATTTCTTGAATGGATCTAAAATTTAGAGACACTAGCTGGTGGATCTAATTTATAGATCCACCCGGGGGTCTGGGGAGCCATCACCCAACGCACAACTCTTCGCAAACAGGCTTCAGCTTGGCTGTCAGGATCACTCTGAAAACGACCTAGAAACCCTACAGGATAAGCTAGGTGAGGAAGCGTGAGACTGGCCCACATCAGCTTCCCAAGCACACGTCTATACCTCTCGTACGACTCGGTGCTTATGGAACCTCCAGGTTCCTTCTTCCGGTACTCCCTCTCAAGGTTTCCCAAAACAGGCTTCACACCTTTTCCACTGATCCCAAACTCTTCACCAAGCGACTTCAAGTAGCCCGGTTTCAAGCCAAACAACACAGGTCCAGCGTCCGTCACACGGAAGATAACTCTTCCCAGAAACTCAAGTTGCCCTTTCTTTCCAGGCTCCAAGATCCCAGTCTGCTTCATTTTGTAAATCTTGGCCAACTGAGCATACAGCTCCTTTGCAATCTTTGAGTTCTGGGAGAATATGATCAAGTCATCAACATACACCAGCACCAAGGTCAAAGAACCGTCCTTCTCAAGACGGTGGTGCACAGTAGGGTCCGCAGTTTCTCCAAACCCAAACTGCCCACGCAACGTGTTGGTGAACTCCAAGTACCAACTCAACGGCCCAACCCGCAAGCCATTCATGGCTTTGTGCAACTGAGCAAAAAGCGGATTGCCCTGGTCGTCATACATCCCGTTCGGAAAACGGATGCACTCAACACCTTGGACAGGCGCCTGCATGAAGGCTACCGAAACATCGGCAGACAACAGCGTTCCTCCACGAACCGCGTGTACAGCAAGGACACCTCGCAAAGCTTCCAAGGAGGTCGTTGGGGAATATACCCCATCAGCCAAGGGGCTGGATCCAAGCGCATAGTCACGCACAACCAAACGCGCTCTCACACGGTCAGGGTTTGTCACAGAGGGTTTGGAAGTTAGAACCCAACGAGTGGTGTGGATCCTTCGCACGGCCTTCTTCCGGGCCTCAGCTTCTCCAATCACGGTTGCCACACCAAAGGCATCTAACTCCGACAGCTCAAGCTTCATCCCTTCTTCGAGATGTTTCCTAGCGAGAACCTTCCCTGAAACCTCACAAACCGCGTTATCTGGGACATGTACCCAGATCTTTCTACCTCCAAACTTCATGCTAAACCACTCAGCAGGATTATCTCCCCTCCTCAGCTTCTGGGTCACACGAAGGTCCGGCCCATCGTAGAGCTGGCGAAGACCATACTCATAGAGCCAAGTAAGACCATCTTCCATGATGTTATCTTCACCATCACTCATCTCAACATCATCCTCATCAAGGACGCCACCAGGAGGAGGTTCAACATCCATCCCTTCACCATCACCATCACCAGGAAGAGAAGGTGAGTAGTCTGCTAGATCCTCATCCTCCATCGGATCAGGAGCTCCAGGCTCTTCTGATTGTCCCACAGGGAACTCAAGACTACCATCAGGCAACGCCGGAGGGTCAGGAGGAGGCTGAGGTGCATCTAGAGGCACATCAAACTTGATGGGTCGTTCGGGGTCCTCACGGTTTCCTTTCAGTTGATCTAGCACTGCCTTGTCAAACTCTACCGGGTCCCGGGCACGAAAAGAGCTGAAAATCTCCAAACGAGGCGGCTTCCCATCTCCTAAGGGAACAAAGACACGTATCCCAGAGCCGTTGGCACCATGGGGCCCAACGTAAATCGCCCTCACCAGGCGCTTTCCTCGATGCTCCGGATAGTCCTTTTGAGGCTTTCCAAAACCTACCACCCCAAACTCACAACTCTTCACAGCTTGGACTGTAGAACCCCTTAGGCGTTCCAGAGGCGTGCTTTGCTCCTTGGACACATGAAACAAGTTATGCATCCTAACAGCATACCGCATGGCTTCAACAAACAAGTGGCTTCCTAACGGCAGCTGCCCTCCTACACGCTCTTCCAGTCCTAGCCACACAGACCAAAACGCTTCTTTCACTAGGCAAACGTTACGCTCAACTATGCCTTTTGCCTGGGGCCTGTTCACTGCAAACGGAACCCAATGCATGGACCGTCCTACAAACGTCCTATGCTTCGCAGAATCCCGGAACACACTCTCTAAGAGGTTTTCTTGGTCACCGTGGACCACGACGTCCAGCCCGTTGAGGCCCATCTCCGAAAGAGCCTTGCAAATGGCTGGCACCGGCACAGGGTCCTCAGGACTCAGGACCCAAGACAACAGTACTCAAGTATCCCGAAAGGACATGAACGATCAAAAGAAACCGAACATTTCGACCGAAGAAGCCAAAATCTACCTGAAGCTCTCCCGGCGCATAGTGGCTCTTCATGTTCTTGCGTCGTGCTGGAACACGACCACGTGCCGACTGGCACACATCACAGAAACTCAGATAGGGCTGATGCCCTTTGTTCCGGTGCGCTCGCAAACGCTCTGAAGTAATGTATACTGGAACCTCAAGGTCTTCAGGAGGAGACAAACCTGAACCAGACGGCTCGGGACGAGGTTCGGGGTCAGGAGGGCCTGGAGGTTGAGGCTTCGGTTCGGGGTCTGGCAACAACTCTTCTTCAGACTCAACAGTGATCTCAACCGGCAAACCTGCAAGCATACGCGCCCTATGCACAACACGCTCGGACACAACATGCTCACGCACAACATGTGGGGCCTCAGGAATCCGCGGTGCTTCTTCATTGTGCTGCCCACGCAAGGCAGCAACTTTCTTAAGCACTTTGCGGACCAAGCACAACAACCTTCTCATCATCGGCCGTTGGACTCTCCAGGGGAAACACCGACGGGGATTCCGACCTTTCAAGGTTACTCGCACCCACTTGTGTCTCCTACGGCTTCCGAACCGCAGCTTCCTACGACCCCCGCTTCGACGCACTACCACAGCTACAGCACAGACTGCCAGCAGCACGCAAAAGCGAAACCCCGCACCCTTTGAAATAACCCTGAACAAGGCTGCGGCACACGATCTTTCCAAGGAACACCTGGGCAGAGCGAGACACTTTGTGGATCCATTCGGGTAGGGCGTAGCTTCGGGAACACTCAAGCAACACGCACCTACCGCACCACACTCTAGGTTACCTCCTAAAGCACTGCACTCACGACAACCTACCGCTTCGGCACTGCACTCTAGACGTTCTACCGCTTCGGCACTGCACTCTAGACTGCCTACCGCTTTGGCACTGCCCTCTTGCACCTTTTTCGGGGAAGACACCGAAGAGCTCACTTTGAGGGTGACGGGCCTCGAACCTAAGGTTGAGGCCAAAACCTCAGAAGAAACACACCGCCTCAGATCGAAGGTGATCGATTTCTCTTCTTTGGCGTAGGGGCTAGAGTTGCCCGTGCTGTGGGCCGTGGTGCTCTTGACGGCCTGGCTGAAGGTCTCACTGTAGGGCGTGGCGGTGGAGTTTGAGGCACAACCGACACACTCGGAGTGATGGGCGTCACATGCTGGCCCACAGATCCAAACACCTGGCGCAACGGCCCGGTGGACCACGGATTGAAAATGCCTCGGTATCCTGGCGGTGGTGCTGGAGGCACTGGTCCCATGTACCCCAAGAGGGGCGGCGCCGGCGGGAACATGTGCATCTTCCCAACAACCTGCGGTGCTTGGGGTACAGGGCCCAATTGGCCCAACCATCGGCGGCGCTGGAGGTCCCATGTGCCCAACATACGGCACCTGCCCCATCTTGGGCATCGCCTTCACTTGAACCGCTCGGACCGCCGGCCTCAAAGCAACTCGAACAGCAGGCCTCGCAGCAGCTTGAGCAGCAGGCCCCGCAGCAGCTGGAGCAACAGGCCCCGCAGCAGCTGGAGCAACAAGGCTCACAGCAGCTTGAGAAGCAGGGCTCTCCAGAACCTTTGGCATGGCTTTGACCAACGGTGGTCGTTGGGGTGTCTTTGGAACCACAGATCCTGGCGACACCTGCGTTGTCGGAGGCGTTCCTGGAGGAGTGATAGCTTCCACACTCGAAGACGACAGGCTGATCCGCCTGCTGGCTGGTAACTCCGGAGGAGTCCCATGCTCTACGGCTCCCTCGGGGGCCGCTGCACTCTCGGGGGAACCAAGGGCATCCCCAAGTTGTAACTCCAAGGTACGCAAACGAACTGTAGCAGCGGCTTGCTCCTGAGCAAGCAGAGCTGCTTGGAGCTCTGCCTCCTTGCGTGCCCTCTGTTGGGCCGTCCACTTCTCGACCGCCACATTGGCGGCTGCCTTCGCCGCTGCCGACGCTCGCTCCTTCTCCGCCAAGTTCTTGCTGGCGGCAGCCATCTTGAGCTCTTGCTCCCTCAGCAAAGCCACTCCTTCGGCGGCCTTGTCTCTCTCGCCCTCGTTGTGGTCCTTCTTGTCCTCGGCGACCTGGTCCTTCTCTCTCTCGGTGACCTGGTCCTTCTCTCGTGCACGGCGCTCCTTGGGGCCTTTCTTCTTCTCCTTCTTCTTGTCCTTCTTCTTCTTCTCCCGAGGAGTCTCCGGTGGTGTCTCGGGCGGCGTCTCCGGGGGTCCAGGCGGCACCTTCCATGTCCCCCAATCGTCGGAGGAGGAAGCAGCCTCGGTGCCCTCCTGAGCGGGAGCGGGAGGTTCTCCAGAAGGCAAGGCCGGAGAAGTCAGGGAATGAAATCCTCTGTGGATCAGTTCCTTCGAATCGTGTCTGTTCATGGCCACTAATTCTTCCGATTCCCTGCGCTGCTCCACGCTGAGACTCAGGTTCAGCTTTGCCACAAGCGCTCCACGACGAAGCGTTGCAGCTCCAGCCATTTCCCGGAGGTCTCGCCATCTCTCTTCCATCACCACCATCTGCCCGGGTTTCCGCTCGGAAACAGAAAAGACCGCTTCCTCACGCCTTGCCCCTGTCGCAAAGGCGAGGACGCCATACAGGAGGGTCACCAACCGAAAAGCTCGAGACAAACCGCCAGCAGAGCAGACACTTTTAGGCTTGCGCTGCCGTGATCCTACTGCACATGCACTTGCACACTCAGGACGACAGGCAGCTCTCGAAAACTCTGCGCAAACCTTCACTGAAGCAGCTTCCGAACCACAGGCTCTCACAGTACTCTGAGGCGTTGGCGGCAAAGGCTCTACACTCACACATGCACTCGCACTCCTACCGCTCCTACGGCACGTTTCGGTGTGTGTGGTGCTTGCTTGCTTAAGCAAAACGGCTGCGGACGAAACACAGACTTCAGAACCTACCGCATAACCCTCACACAGCTCTTCAGAACAACCTGCAGGCACTACCTCGGTCTCAGCTGCTACCTCTGCTGCGGAAAAACACTTGCACGAAAACTCACTGCAAAAAGCTCTCAGCAAAAACTTGAAAGGAGTCACTTCCCAAGCTCTCTGCGGATGCTTGCTCGGATGCGCCTTCTCCTTGGCGCGGTCCACTTCCATTGCATCTCCCACGTCGTCGTCTTCTTTCCCAAACTTTGGTGGGGTACCTTTGGGCGCTCCTGCCTTGGACTTCGCTTTCGCCTTAGCTCTCGCGGGGCCGATCTCCTGGGCCATTGCCCACCAGCTCCTGGCTTCCGTCTCTAAGGGAACCCAAACCCAGGAACCCTTGCCGTTGTACTTCATCAAGCAACTCTCTCCGGGTGTGGCGGTGAACCACGAACACCAACCCGAAAGCGACGCCTGCCAAGAACTGATAACATTGAAACCGATCTGGCAAACAAGGACCTTCTGAAGCACTACAGGCCCTAGCTTCCCAAACTTCACACGGATATCGACCAACCCGAGGCATTCCATCTCGGTGTCACTAGCACTCATCAAGACAGGCAGCGGTCCCGAATGCTCCTTCACGACTTCGTAAAACCCTAAAGAAGCAACAGACAACACGTGGCACGTGGCTCCACTATCAACAAGCCACGCAAAGTGACTATTCCTCGAAGAGGACTGGTTCAGCTTCTCTACTTCTTTGTCTGTCATGGTGAGACGTGGGGGCTCAGCATCATTGGGCTCATTCTTGATCGCTTTCCCTGGGCGCATGCCCCTGAGACGATGAAATCTCAAGGCCATCACTTGCTCCGAAGGCTCGTCTTCAACAGCGCGTCCCTTGGACTTCGCTTTCGGCTTCGCCTTTGGCTTCCCCTTGTCCTTGCCCTTCTCGCCTTTCTTGCCGCCTTTGCCCTTGCCCTTGGGCTCGCCGCCTCGGCCGCCACCGGAGGGCTTTCCACCCTTGCCTTTGTCTTTGCCTTTTCCTTTCCCACCCTTTGGTGGGTCAGGGCACTGCCAACTGTAGTGGCCAGCCTTGCCGCAGTTCCAGCACAAACCCTTCTCGCCAACAGCGTGAAGAGCACCAGCGTCGCAAAGCCGGGTCTGTTCCTCAAAGAACCGGATGCTTGTCACAAGCTCTTCCCAAGTTCCAGACTTGCCGTGCAAAACAACGTAATGCCGGCACTCAGGGTTGACAGATTGAAGCAAAACAGTAAGGCGGTCCGAAGCACCAGGCTTCAGCTCCGGAAAACGATGGAGCTTCTGATCCACTTTGCCCAGCTCATCTTCTAAGAATCGGACCACATCAAGTGGCCTCTTGTAGGCTCGGGCTCTCGCAGGCAGCTTCAAGGCCTCGTCTCTCACAGCAATTGCCTCCATTCTTGAGACAATGCTGAAAGTCGCATGCATTTGCCGCATGACTTCGTACCCACAAGCAGCTTGAGCTTGACGCATGGAAGTGCTTCTCACAAGCTCCATGCCTCTCTCAAACTTCTGCAAACTCTGTTGAAGGTAGTAAAACAACCGAGCAGACCTCGAAGCCACAGGAGCAGACATCTCTGACTGCTTTATCTCCCTGTGGTGCACCATTGCTTGGCGCAACTCGTTGACGTAGTTGTCGTCTATGAGCGCCAACCATGACGCCAAGACTTCACACCAACGGTGGTACTCTTCCAGCTCTTTCACACGCCCCTTTCCCATCGCCGGAGCGTCGATGGTGGGCAAAGCAGGGAGGTACTTCTCAGCTCTGTTGCTTCCTACGTGCAACGACGGACCAACAGGCGCTGGCGGTGGAGCAGACGCTTTGGCTGACGGACTTCCAGCCGCCGCCGTTGAACCAAAAGGCTCAGCTACAGCTGCAGAAGCAGCCTCAGCTTCTCGCCTTCTTCTCTCGTCTGCGTCCATCCGGGCCATCATGACCTGGAGCGTCTGCTGTTGCATCTGCATCATATTCAGCATCAACTGCTGAAGCTGCGGGTCCAAACCAACTGTCGTCGTCACTGCAGGTGGAACCGGTGCTAGCTGTGGCACTGGCTGCGGTGCCTGCTGAGGTCCAACAGTCGGTGCAGGCTGCGACGACTGACTCACCTCTCCAGGACTCGGACCAAACAGGTCAAAGTCTTCTTCCTCAGGCACTGGGGTCGCGGCAACTTGGGCAGGGTCGGCCATGGCTTCTCTACAGCTACGAGCGTGCTACACACGCTCCGCTACCATGTGAAAACACAGCAGCAGCGCGCTGAACCCTCTTTTTCTCACGGCTTGAGCCAAAGTCAGCAGCCGGAGGCTTTGTCTGTGCAACTTGGCCACAGATATTCTATGTGCCATAGCACTGCAAGTGAAACACTGCTCAGCCACGTGTTCTCCACAACTGCAAAACAAACTCAAACGTCAGTGGGAGTTCTCGGGACCGACTCAAAACTAGCGCAAGCAAAACTACAGCTACCAAGTCACTCCAAACGTAGTTACACCAAGGAAAACACTTCCCTACACTCTCAAGCACTTCAAAAGGCTTTCCACTGAAAGCAAGCTCGTCAGTCAAGCCTCCAAGGCAAAACTTTCAGCTAAAACGACTCACACCTGAGCAGGCATGCAGGACAACCAAAGTAACATGTCTTAAACATGAACTTTCACACACTTGCAGGTACACGCGGTGCTTGCCGGAATCGCTCGGCAATGCTTTGATGTGCCAGCGCAGGCTTGAGCTGGACCCACGCCTCGTGTGGCAAAGCCTTGCGGGTTCCTTACAATCTGCATGTGTGCGTGCTGCCACTGGGGTCAGGAGCGCATGTCATCGGAGGAGGCCAGTGACATTTTGATCGAGATCTTAACCTCCTTGGACATGGCCCCTGAACCCAGTGAGTCGATAGGGACCCACAGTTTCAAAACCACTTTGATTACGTGGAGTGGATGGTCTCCTATAATTTCCTTCACACCCAAGGAGAGATTGTTGATGGGACATCTCAGGAAAGGCGGCCCTTCTTCGACACTTATTTACAGTCGACAGTTCTACATCAACCTGTCAGGCAAAATCCTGGCGATGTTCAGGACCATCCGCCAGAATCAATTCGATCCGGATGCCGAGGTCACGGACAGAGTCGCAGCAGTGGCTTCGGCGCTCACCGGCGAGGCGACTGCTTCACCGGCGCCCGCTCTCCCTGAAGATCACCACGTGGGGGCAGCCGATGTAGAGTCCTCTGAGTCCGCCGAGTCCATGGTAGGGTATGAGCCTATGCCGCGTTCAGGCAGAGAGCTTAGGCCACCCTTTGAATGCACCGTTGCGGAGCTCCGAGTGCATAGCTTGTCAGGCATCGTTCATCGACTGAGGGATGAGGGCACTTTCTTTTGTGGACGTCCTCTCACTGACAGATACAGGGACTTCGAGGAAGACGATGCCGATGATCCGGACACCTGCCATCAGTGCAGGCGGGCGATGTCGAGCGCTGATTGAACAGAGACTCTTGAACGAAAATCAGCCGAGCTCGATGGTGGGATGTACCATTGCCCATTGTGGATCCAGTACTTCGCCGGCCTCTGGCCCGTGGCGAGCTTGCGCACTACCAAGTACGAAATAGTTAAATAGATGTCCCGATCCTACGGATCCGTGGGACATGCCTTCCCCATTGAGGCGTCAGGTGTATCTCGACTTCACGGTGAACTGTTGGGGCTGTATAATGTGGTCCTCGGAAAAACTCAAATGGCACCGGTCAATGACCCGAGGAAACAGACTGCGGATGCCGGCTCTCCGAGCCCGTGGCATACCGAAAACCCAGACCTTGTCTTTGGAGATGTTTCGGTTGGATGTGGTTGTAGTGACTGTGAAACACAACCCGACATTACGCACCGGCCTATGGCCCGGGGTCAAACTCTTGACTGCACTCTTGAGACACAGCAGCTTCTCCAAGCTGCCTGCAAGTAGGCCGTGCCGCCGGGGTTTTTAGGCCCTGCCGCATTTAGGCTAAGAGGTTGTTCGCTGCCGTATGGTGGTGCTCAACTAAGTTCGCCACTGCCGAATGGCAGTGTTCGGACGACGAGGTCGTGGATTCCCAGCGTCACCAGAGAAAAGAGTGAGGCTCGCCTTTGCAGTTGTGCTTAGTGCTACGCTTGCTTGTTGGTTAGCGCTTCAGTTGAACAGCTCAGTCTAAAGCTCAGAAACCACACAGAAAGAATTTTAAAAATATAAATAGGAATGTATATATTAGGGGTTGCCTCTAACAGTAACTGGCATGCTCTCTTTACAGGAGAAAAGTTTTCAGAAAGGTATGCAGATTGAACACTTATTTGGGGGCTACTCGACACAAATTTGGGGCCGATTCAACACTTATGTGGGGTCGATTGAACACTTATTTCGGTGCCGATTGAACACTTATTTGGGGTCGATTGAACACTTATTTTGGGGCCGATTGAACACTTATTTGGGGTCGATTGAACACTTATTTGAGGGCTAATTGAACACTTATTTTGGGGCCGATTGAACACTTATTTGGGGCCAATTGATGAACACTTATAAGGGGTCGGCAACACAACTAAGATATCAGCAAAAGGCAAGTAAGATACCGACTTTGGGGTAGGAAAACAAGGTCCGACCAGGAGCCCTGACACCATACTTCAGAGTGCATCGAGGCACTGAGCCTTTGAACAATGATAACACAATGGCAAAACACGGTTTCTGTCTATCAGCATGACTATGCCTCTATGAACACCGCCACCTAGGCCAACCACCAACAACATCAATAACAACAACACCGCTTTATTGCCAACATATCACCACATCGTCATATTCAGCATCGTCATACTAGATTGTCACGAGCACAGTAAAATCTTAATCTTATCGGTAGGCATGCCCGCCTCGGCCGAATCAGCTAGGGTATCGAGTATAGGACTTAAGATCTGTCATAGAAAGAGGCAACCACGTGTATCCAACTAGCATCCTGAACAATCCAAAACCCAACCCGAAATCACGCACAAGCAGGAAGAGGGATATGGTGGGGGAGAAGGGAAGGGGCTGGAAAGCCGGACAAAAAGGGGGCCGTAGCATATCCAACTAGCACCATGAGTAGCTCAAACTCCCAACCCAAAATGACGCTCACAGGGGCGAGGTCATTGGAACGAGTCGCGGAGAGCGGGATGGGGGGAAGACTGGGGAAGGGGGTGATATGAAGATACAATCCTGAAAACGCCTCCAAAGCTTTTCTGCACAACATTGCTCCCTTTCATGCTCCCGTTCCAAAAAAACCCTCAATATGTCATTAAAACCTCTACAACCCTTCCAAACATCTCATTGGACCCTTGCAAGACCCTTCCAACATTTTCAGTCAAAGCCCTTCCGAAACACGCTTACTTTAAACCCCTGCAACTGAGAGCCTTCAACACCCTTTAAACACTCTTGAAACCTTGATAAAAGCCCTCCGAAACCTTTAGACACCATCAAGGTCCTTCTAACATCCTCTCAACTTTAGAACACCACGAAGGAATTTCAAAAGACAGTCAACACACTTCTGAAAGCCTTCGAAAACCCGTGTTAAACCATTCAAAATGCAATCGACTACGACTTTTTTCTCAAAACCATTACCCATGCTCTCAGTACCATACCGTTCTAAAATTCTCCAAAGCATCACCAAACCACATCCAAAAACCTTCTCATTTTTCTGAAGAGCATAAAAAAAGGAGCCCTAAAGTCAAAATCTTTCCAGCTGCCAGTAAGCCCTGCCGCCTCGGACACCCTTCTGCAACCCTTTCAAATGCGAGGCTAAAGCCTGTAAAAACTAATTGCAAACCCTTCAAAGTAACGCTTCAAATCTTTTGAGTCCCTTGTAAATCTTTTCAGAACGTCATGAGAACCGTTCCAAAACCCTTCCAGAAACCAACACGATACCACGAAATATAGAAACAGCTCTACACCCAACAGTACCATTATACACCTCAAACTATCACGTAGAGTGCAATCCCAACTGGCTGTTGTTCTTGGGGAGGGAGGGGGAAAGACCCCAAAGCCGGGAAGAGGTGTGCAGAGCGAGTCCAGCTAGGACCGAGGACCGTGCACGGTCCAAAATCCAATCCCAAATCACGCAAACAAAGGAGCGGGGAAAGGGAAACACGGGGGGAGAAAGCGGTCGGGGAAAGGCTTTAATGTAAAGACCGGGAAGGATGGTCCATTAAAAGATACCACTACTCGGTCTCCCGGTGGGCGCTTTTTCACTTTTTGAAGTCTTAGGTTCCTGATAAAGGTACCCAATACCAAAAGGGAGCCCTTTTAATCGCAAGGAAGCCTCCAAACCCTTCTAAATACACAATTACGCACTTTCCAAAAAAACATCTACATGCCATCAAAATGCTTCTAGTACAATTCCTGATAATGTCACTCACTAAGACGCCTTCCAAAAATGTCATTAAGCCCTTCTGAATTACGTTTCAAGCCCTTATATACAAAACCCTTTCACTTTGAAAACGTTTCTGGATACCTTCAAAACCCTTCTGAAAATGAAATACCATGTATCCTTTCAATAAGCCAATTCTGAAACCCACCTAAACCATTCATGCCCGTCTCAATACCACGAGAATCCTCAACACCAATTTTCGAAGGCGGTTCAACAGGTTATGAAAACCCTTCCATAACACGTCTGAAACGTTTGGACACACGATTAAAGTTTAATGATTAAAGCCGTTCTAAAACCCTGCCAAAACCTTGCGACACATCATAAACGTTTCCAAACCACAGTAAAGTAACGTGAAAACCCAGAACATCGCGCCGGCTCTTGTGGAGGGAGGGGGGGCGGGGCATACAACAACATGGCGGGGCTCCAATTTAGCTCAGTATCATAAACCCTTCCAAATTCTATTAAAGCCCTTCTACACGATTTTAAAGTCTTGTACAATGCCTTTCCGACCCCACCGAAGCCTTTTGCAAATGCCAGTCAAAGCCTTCAAACGGTTTAAGCCCTGCTAAAACCCTTCCACGACGCCTCAGAATGCCATAAGAACCGTGTTTAACGCCTACAAAATGCCAGTATAAGCCTTTTAAAAACAGTGCTAACACCCTGTAGGTCCAAAACCAAACCCAAAGATCACTCGAAGACAGGAGCGGGGGATGTAGGAACGAGGCCGGGAGAAGATCAGAGGCAAAGATCAAAAGAACGGCAAGGCCAGGTGGGGGTGTTGGGTGTGCGTGGTGT